TGGACTCCACGAACATACTGCCGACCTACAAGCGTTGTTCCAAATCTTCTGGCAGGAAGGCATAGGACTTGTGCCCTGACTTCGTTCCCTCTCGTGTGCGTTCTTTGCCTGTGCCCTTGGTCCCCCAGGCTCAGTGCAGTCAACCCGTAAACCTGTGGACGTGTCAGAGATCCCCCATCCCCAATCCGGCAAAGTTTTCTTCATTATCTGAACCATCCGCGGGAACAGAAAGCGAACTCTCACTGGACCTGCTGGACTCGGACCTTGATTCCCACATACTGATATGCCAGGACTGCACACGTCGCAGTGAGGAAGCCAGTGGTCGAGCTTCGACGTCGGCCCTCAACAAGGGCTGGGAGTCCTGGTGATTAGCTGGCAGTGAACGGTTCAGTGAGGTGACAGCAGCGGGGTTGTTATCCTGGCCTGCGATTGGTTGGGCATGTTGGAAGTTTTTGGGGGCAGGCGGTCTGCTCCTTGGGCGCGCTGTTGCCTGCATGGTGTGTGCTCCAGCCACTCCTGCTACTTGTTTGGCGTTTCTTTATCTTGGGTACAACGTAGGCCTCAACGCCACCAGCGCTTTCACTTTGGCGAAGTTGGGGGGCAGGAGCAGCGCCATGGACTGCGGATTCATCGCGGTGGACTTGAATGTCTGCCCGACTGTTGATCAGTGGTCAGGTTTTTCCGCATCAGTTTCAATGTGATCTTTTTCCACGGAGCCCCGCGCCCACTTCCCTTCTTTGGGCTCCCATGGAGGTATCCGGCTTATTTCTAATCTCTGGGGTCCCCAGCACATGTTCCGGCAGTTTCGGCAGCATGGATGTTGTCAAACACGTCGCTTTGTGCCCTCATCGGCTTGTGCGGTTCCATCTGGGCCATTGCTTTCAGGAGGCCGCCGCCCCCTGCATGTCCCGTGGCCGATGGGACCTTCTCCCGAGATGGACGACCGTGCTTTGGATGAGGTTTTGGACAGCGAGAGTGAAGTTACAAACAGCGCTACGCCGGGTGACGGTGAAGATGCCGTTTTTCTGCTCACCCAGGTATACCAGCGGTGGGCCGGCCAGGCCGAGCTGGGCCTCGAGCTTCTGCTCGTTGGCGAACTGCCTTGTCGTGGGGCCCGCGGCCATCCTGCTCAGATCCTTTCGGGGAGCGAGCGCTGTCCAAGCTGTCCAGGGCCCGCGCCCCGCTTGGCGCCGTTCACGCCGGCGAGAAGCCCAACTCAGAGACTTGGACTTGCAAGTTGAAGGCCGGCGGGATTCTGTTCTGAACAAGTGGCGATCGCTGAATATTTCGGCAGCCCTCCGGGCGTGGTCGCCGGAGCCATCTGGGCTCATCCCCGCCTGTTCAGGCGTGGCTCGGCCTCAGTTGTCCTGGCTTCCGCTGAGTTTTACGGCATCGCCGGCTCCGTTTCCGTGTGCAAGCTTTCTAGGTGAGGGCGTGGCCGGGGCTGTCACCGAGGCGAAAAATGATTCTCTCGTCGCCAGCATTCCCCATTTGGGAATACAAGATGTTTGAGGGGTCGATTCGGGGGGGCGCAGGGGCCATGCGGCGATTCGTGACCCCTCCCCTTGGATTGCAGCTGCGACCCTGGCTCTCGGGGACCCAGTTCGGAAGGCCCCCTGCGTCTCTTGCGACAGCGGGAGGGGCGCGACACCAAGCCTTGGAGCGAGGGCCCTGGTCCACGCGAGGGGCCCGCCGAGCTGCTTCGTGCCCTTCCCGGGCGCAGTCCTGGGGAGTTGCAGGAGTCAGGCAGGGCCTACATGATGATAGCGCTGGGTCTCTGGATGGTGTCCCCCTCGGGCATTTCAGCGTTCTCAGCGATGTCGGTTCATCTGCAGTGGCTGGTCTTCTCTGGGACGTCGAGTTCATGAGCCGGCTCCCCGGCCAGATGTCTGTTCTTCTGCTGGCTCTGTGGAGCTGGCCCGCAAGGGGCCCCCGCCCGAGCGGCGTCGTCGCGTCGCGGCGCCGCTCGCGGGGCTGCGCGAGGAGGCTCCGGGCTCTGCAGTGGGAACTGGATAGCCCGAGAGACCGTTGGGTCGCTTGCGTTCGCAGAGGGGTTTACCGACGTCGTTTGGCGACAAGCCCTCATGGCCGAGTCTGGCGCCAGAGTTGCGTGAAGTTCGAGCTCCCTGTTTGGGGGCGCATGGGAATGCTGCGAGAGCAATTCCTTGGCGCATTTGCAGCGTCAGTGCGTTGTGCAAAACTTTCCGACGTGCGTCGCCAGAGTCTGTGTCGCGGCCGGTCTCTCGATTGGACGCCTCTCTGCGGGGGGCCTGATTCAAGTGGCCGACGCCATTCCGCCGACCCCCGCAAGGAGAGAGCGTTTGAGACGGCAGTGGAAGTTCTATCTCGGGACAGGAGCCTCCTGGACGAATCTGGGTGTCACTCGGGGTGCCTATCTGGGACCTCTTGGAAGATCTCGTGGGCACGTGGGGGGCTTTTCGGAATCTCGCGGGGACCTCTTGGGGGCTTCTTGGGGGCGTCCTCGAGGCCTCTTGGGGCC